AAACATAAATAAGTTATCGGAGGCAATGAAACAAGACAGGTTGGCCCTTGCCGTTAATCAATTAAAGAGCTCAAAGGAGTTGCAGAAACACAAACACTGAACACAAACATATGTGAGACAGCACGGCGAAATCAGGCGCTCGTCAACATAGTGAAATTGAAGAAACTAGCATTTTTCCTCCAGATTTGCAATTTTTTATCGAATTTCAGTTTTTTGGCTGAACACCTTGTTATTCAATTAAGAACAAACCTCAGGGTAGATTTTGCTGAAAAGCGTTGATTGAAGGCGCATATAATGTAAGTGTTCAGTTTTCATGGACTATCAAGCTATGGAAATAATCAAACTTTGGCGGCCATTTTCTCGCTAATTCTACCTTTGAAACCAGGTGACCCCACCTTCTTCAAAGTCAAATATCTCGACTTCAATTCAAGATAGATGGGCATTTTTTTCACCGATAGCAAGACATCAGAACAGGCTTTTAGATGATTCCAATTACTCCACATGCCCAAAAATTGACAAGCGCCTGATTCCACCACATCGTGAGACATATGTGAGACAACAGGCCACACTGAATCATCCAATAGAGTGTGTTCTACCACGGGGAAACAAAATAGGAAGATAAAAACCTTCCACTACAGCAGATGGTAGCAGGAACGACCTAATCAAGCCAGAGAAGCAGAGACCCCACCCTGGGATGGAGACAAATAGACAGTTTTGTGGGACATACGCTACTTGAAAACTGAGCACTTTTTGTGTACTGTTCCACTGACAACTTCAACAGATATGAACACAAATCTTACAAGCAAAATAAGGTTTTTTCACCAGGGTTCTGAAGACATTAAGGAGGGGGAGGTTTGCCTGTTCCGGACTGCCATAACGTGCCTTTTGATAGAGCAACAGCTAAGCTGAACATTTTCCACGAAACAGCTTCTCTTCCAGACTTTCAACTGACAAGATCGTCTTTTACGTTTAAAGTGTACAATGTACACAACAGAATGTTTTGTCTTTGGTCAAAGAGAAAGTGCTGACCCCTACAGAAATGTCAAGGACGTCGATAAACCTGGAGTCAAACCAGCTGTTTTAGAACGAGAGACAGGGGTCAGATAGTTCACTTTAGGACAACCACACCCCCTGCACTGCCACAGAGCAAGAAACTATTAGGTGCAGAACATCACAGCTCGGTTACCCACACATTACATTTGCTCTCATTTCTTCACACAAGCAAAAAAAACAAAAAAAACAAACCCCAATCCATTAACGTATAAACACCTCAAATCTTTCCCCTTTGTTTTTGACTCCAATTTCTCAGAAAATATTTCATGAGTCTCTAGCCATTATTTCAGCCAGCGTTGGCGTTCTGAGAAGACCCTAGCTCCAGATAGACGGACACAACTTCTTGTTCTCTCGTACCCATACACAGACACATTCACACAGTTGGCCAGGGTGTTATATATACCGGGACAAAAATCCCTCTCCTACAGCTTCTGAACCTCTGCCTCCATCCACCCTTGTGTTGCTATGGACAACCTCTGCCTCCATCCACCCTTGTGTTGCTAATGACAACCTTTGCCTCCATCCACCCTTGTGTTGCTATGGACAACCTCTGCCTCCATCCACCCTTGTGTTGCTAATGACAACCTTTGCCTCCATCCACCCTTGTGTTGCTATGGACAACCTCTGCCTCCATC